TAATTGCCTTAGAGATGCTCACGTCGAATATACTGCCACAAAATTGAAATCACATGTACTGCTCCTTTTTTGACAAATGGTCTTTTGAATCAGAAGGAACCGAATTGAGAGTTCTCCATGACAGGGGAGGCAGAGGTGAAGAACTTTGTATAATTTGCCACTCCAGATCATACCTTTGAGGCCCCTCCAAGTTGTCCTTCATTCTTTTCTTTCTTTTTTCTTTTTTAAAATGTATCACACTTTGTTTAACTAGTCACCTATCAAAGGACATTTGGGGTGTTTAAATTTTTTCTATTACAAATAAAGCTTCTATAAACATTCATGTATGAGATTTAGTGTGGATATAGTTTCATTTCTCTGGGATAAATGCCCAGGAGCAGGATTACTAGGTCCTATGGTAATTGCATGTTTAGTTTTGTAAGAAACTGCCAAACTGTTTTGCAGAGTGTTTTTGTAGCATTTCTCATTCCCACAGCAATGTCTGAGAGATCCGGTTTCTCTGCATTCTCCCCAGCTTTTGGTATTGTCACTGTTTTTTGATTTCAGCTGCTCTTGTAGCATGCATGCTCCACTGTGGTCTCAGTTTCTATTTTCCAAGTGGCACCCATCTTTTCACATATCTACTATCCATACTTCTTCTTTGCTTCATCTCCTTTGCCCATTTTCTTTTCTTTCTCTTTGTTTTTTTTGAGACAGGGTTTCTCTGTGTAGCCCTGGCTGTCTTGGAACTCACTCTGTTGACCAGGCTGGTCTTGAACTCACAGAGATCTGCCTGCCTCTGTCTCCCGATGCTGAGATTAAGGGCATGTGCACCACCACTGCCCAGCTACTACTGATTTTCTTACACTCCTTGTTAATCAGATATATTACAAATATTTCCTCTAATTCTGTAGTTAAAAAAATCTCTTAACATGGGTCTTTCACATTTTTAAAATGTTTTTGTAAGAAAGGTTCTTGCTAAATAGCCTAGTCTGGCCTTGAACACACAATTCTCTTGACTTCACCGTGCAAGTGCTGGCATTGCAGGCATATGCTACCATTCGATCCTGGAATCTTTCACCGTTTTATCAGGTGCAAGTCATTGGTTTGTTCATGAGACTTATCATTGTGCTACCATGGCTACAAACTTTCAGTCTAAACTCTAGGATCTGAAGAATATTTCTTTTTATTTTGTCAGTCTTTTCCCTCTGAAAAGATCCATTTTGATCCATTTGAACGTTTAAAATCTAAAATTTGATACTGAGGTTCAAGTTTGTGATGGTTAGTTTTACTTATCAACTTGGTTGTAACTTTGCTGGGCCCCTGTGGGCCAGCTAGCCTTGGGTATGCTGCTTCATAGCAGAAAGCACTTTGAACAGATGCCCTGCCTCAATAAGGAAGAGGATGGGATCCAACTCCCAAAAACTTGTGCTCTCACCTCCACATGAGTGCCAAGGCACTGGGTGCCCCCCATTAAATAAATAAGTTTTCAAAGGCTTCTTCTCCATGGAGTTCTATTTGCCTTGATTACTTTATTCTCTCTCCTTCTCCTCCACCCCTCACCAGTACTGGGGACCAAATCCAAGGCTCTGTGCATATCAGGCAAGAACTCAGTCCTCTCCTCCCTTATCCTTACTGGTTTTGAAACATCCATGGTAATTGCCCATATTTATGGAAGAGGCAGTAAGGTGTTCCAATTATTCCTGAAATGTCTATTTGCTTTATATATAATTAATATTGAGCTATTCTTAGAGGAATGACGAAAAGTATGTCTACTCAAACGTGACTTTCCAGTTACTTCTGAAAGTGCATTGCTAGAAGACAATGTTGTTTAGAAGTCACATGATAATACGCTATCTTTGTTGAGCCAGTGGCTCATACTCACATAGTTTTGACATGTTGGGGCAGAAATACAGATGACAGCATCCACAGAGTTCTCTAACTGCTGAACCAGTGGCAGACTGCTTGAGACTATACTGCTTGAGGACTAATAGGTCTCTGGGGTTGCTTAGAATTGCAATGGATATTTAAGAGGCTATGGAGAAATATATGGTGGCAACTCTCAGGGATATCGTTGAGACAATAAGAAAAATGAGTTATCCATCTCAAAGGCTGGCAAATCCTAGATACTCAATAGATGCATGTGTGAAGGAACATGATGAATGATGCTAATTGCTTCTAAGTGACAATTGCTGAGCCAAGTTGTATGATCTAGACTGGGTTTGATTTGTTCTGTGTGTGTGTGTGTGTGTGTGTGTGTGTGTGTGTGTGTGTATGTTCATTTATGCACACATTCGCACATGTGTGTGCATGTTTGAAGCCTAAGGATTTTTCTCAGGAGCCATCTAACTTCTTATTTCAGATAGGGTTTCTTGCTGAGCCCCGGGGCTGGTGAATTAGAATAGGCTTCCTGAGAAGGAAGTCCCAGGGATCTGCCTGTCTCTACCTCCCCACTGTTAGAATTACAAGAGCCCATGGGTTCTTGGGATTGACTTTGGGTCCCTATATTTGTCCTACAAGTCTTTTACTAATTGGGCTATTTTTCCAGACCTCGGAAGTGTGGTCTTAGGGAGGTAGAGGTTAACTTGTAAGTAGGGTAGGGGCTAGAGATGTTTTTGAAGGAAAATGGACAGAATTCGTTAGTAGCCTGAGGTAGGGAAGGGTTGAAGGAGAACAAAAGCCAAATACGCTCCGGCTCAGATTCCCAGTGACAGGGAAATAAGGGAAATATAATGAATTTGATTTCGTATCTGATAATCTCAAGCTGATGGTAAAATATTTGGAATAGTTATTATTAAGGAAAACATCTAACTGGAAAATTCATGTTTCCTGGGAGTCTCCAGGAGATGTAGGCTCTAGTCCCAACTTTATAGCAAGGAAACCATGAGATTTAAAGCAATTCAGAATTTTCCCCTGTGTTTTGATTCTCTCATCTGTAAATTGGGGTGCTCTGACAGGTGATATTCTTTGAACTAACATTTATTTCAGCATAGGATCAATGTTTGGAAGGAATCTTATTTTTACTGAAGTATTTTCTTGTCTGCTATAAAAGTCTAGGATTCTGTGATTTCTTAAGATACCTGCCTTGGCTGCTGCCTCAAAAAACCAAAAAAAAAAAAAAAAAAAAGATATCTGCCTTTGGTGGCTAGCTTCTTATTTAGCACCTACCTCTTATAACTCCTCTTGCCCCCAGCACACACCAACAGAACTCATCAGTTTATATCATGTCAGATAAAGTCAGGGAGGGGGAGCTGTGCATGTTGGGTCTCAGTGCTTCCAGGCTTCTTAAGCATTTCTCTCTTTTGAGCTCTCCTCCACTCTAGGGAGTACAGTGGGCACATAGCCATTAGCACACAGGAAGGGAGGCTTTGTGGTATACTAAAGCCTTTGGGTTTTATTTATGTCCCGTTTACCCAGCATTCATTCCACAGATCTGGACAGTTGTAGAAAATGGGTGGGATTTAAGAGAGGGAAGGATGAGAATTTGCTAGAAGTCGAGAAACCAACAAATGCCTTTCAATAGCACACCCAGACTCATAGCACTTAACACTGAAAAGACGTTGGGGCTTCATTTGGGCTTTTATGGAAACCAAGCACTGCTGTGACTCTCCACACAGCATCCAATGCTCTTCTCTTTTCCACTTTCCATCAGTGAGATCTGTATCATATTACTATCTATCATCGAATTTTAATTTTTCCTAATCAAAGATTAATTTTAGATTTAAATCATGACAAGCTCATTATAAAAATAAAATGAAAATAATTCTTGACAGTTAAGAGTTAACTACTGTTAAAATTTATATTTATTCCCTTCTAGTCTTCTACACACACACACACACACACACACACACACACACACACACCCATATACACAGTATCATGTCATATGCTCAGTTGTATATCTCCCCTTCCTCCCTTTAATTTAGGCTGTGAGATTTCCCCATGTTATTAAACATCCTTCTACACATGATTTGAAATAATGATACAGTAGTTTGTAGTATAACTATTTAGCATTTCATAATATAAATGTTTTTCACATGAACATTTTTTGATGTTTTCACTTTATTTTTAAATGATGCCATAATTAATTTCTTAGTAGTTTAGTGTATCTATTATATTTCAAATAATTTGTATTAACACTAATTATACATATTTATAGGGTATAGTGTTATAGTTTTATAAATGTAGACAATGTACAATGACTCAACAAGGTAATTGGCATGCCTCTCTCATTAAACACCTACAGCTCTATTACTAACATTTAATTATTGTGCTTTTGAACAGAAGAATTTCTTAGAAAAAGCCTCTCAAGGGGTAAAGGAGAAGAACACTGCTAATGTTTTGGCACATTTTGCAGCTGTCCTTGTGTTCGAGTTATACCAATTTGTGTTCCTACAGGTGCTGGAGAATGCCTAATTTTCTCCATGAACACAGAATCCTTCAGCATCATATATGTGGACACTATGTATTTCAAGTCAAAGGCATTTGATCAGCCCCTCATGAATGTTGTGTCTGAACATTTCCAGACTTTCTAAGCTGTTCCTAAGCAGAAGAACCTGCTGTACACTGGGTAATTAGATTCTCCAGTTATGCCAAGTAAATGCCAGATAAGACACACATGAAGATGATTAAAAATGCAAGCAGAAAATAACAACACATAATTCTATATGGCCAGTGCTGACACTACTTAGCCTTTAAATAGTTACTCATTGGAGGACGACACCAATGTATCTAATTAAAACAATTTAGACCCCATGAACACTGAAAAAAGAATGCATTAATGGGACTGTTGCAAATCACAGAGGTTGAGTTGTGATTATTTAGTGTATTTCCTGGTATAAGCTAGAGTGGGAATGGAGAGGAATATTACAAATTTACATCTTTCAAAGGAAAAGAAACAAAACAAAACAAAAAAGCACCTCATATGGGTGAAAGGACAATTTCTGCTTTTGTCAGTTCCCTTTACAAAGTTAACCTGTTGGTTATCGGAGAAGGGGACACAGAACACACAGAAAACTAACCTCCTTCTGGCAGCTGGGGATAATTTGTCAGTCTCCTTTGAAATGTGGCTTTGTGCTCGCTGCTCAAGGCAGCTGGAAAAGAAAAAGCATGACAGACAAAAGCTGAAATCCACATGAAGAAAGGTCTTTTTCCCAAAAATTACTGCCTGAGTTAGCAACGGTCAGAAAGGAAAGTGCATGTCTGTCTTTCCTGGCACCACGCACATCTGGTACTAAAGAAGGCCCCTATGCTATGGGAGGCATTCAGAATGGCTGTTGACTTGAATAGGGCTACTGCATAGCATCGAAGCAAGCCTTCTCACCCTGTGACAGATTACATGCTCAAATCTGTCTACAAGGAAGTCTAAAACAGTGTTAGTACCATCTTGGGAAATCTGGCAAAAAGCATTTGCTATGTTGAAAAGGCAGACCTAATTCACATACAGTGGTGATAGACTAAAGAATAAAGGCTTAAGTATATGATTTCATATTAAAAGGTAACTAGTGTAATGACTAAAACATCACTATCAAACTGGAAACAGCTTAAATGTGCCTCAACTGATTGACTGGTGAGTTCTGGTACATCCATGCTATAGACTGCTACTCAGCAAGCCAAAAGAATGGACAACTGATAAACGAATCTCAAGACAGTGATAAATGCATAAATGACTTAAAATAGTTATCATAGGTGAAAGGACACAGTGACAAAAGGTTACATACAGCATGATTCTATGTCTATAGCATTATGCAAAAGAGAAAATTGAAGTGACATGAACCTTTTTCAGCAGTTGCCAGGCCACTCAGGAAGTAGGGAGGAATTGGTATTTATTTGGCCGATGGAGCTACTCAATGTGATGTTCTTAGCAGCAGTCAGGTGACTTCAGATTTTTGCCTAAACTCATCGAACTGTATACCAAAAATATAAATTTTACCACGTTCTATTTTAAAAATAGGGAAACAAACAGCAACAAACCCTTTAAAAAAAAACTCACAAAATTATTACCAAATGAGAAGCAACAGAAAGGGATGGATGACGGTAAAGCTAAGTAAGATAAGTCTTCAGTTTTTACAGCAGAGAGTCAAGTGATAAGGGCTGAAAAGGATAGATCAGGAAGCAGGCGGCCAAGCACTGTTTACAGATATTCAAGTACCCAGCAGAGAAATTGAAAACAGGATCTGATAAAAATGAGTGCCTTGGAGGAGGAGGACTGGAGTGGGGTGGGGAGGGGTAAAGAACTGTTTTGTTGTTGTTGTTGTTTTTCTTTTCCTTTCCTACAAACTCTTTTTGCACTATTTGAAAGTTGTAAATAATATTCACTTATTACTTGGACTGGAAAAGAAATGGAGTGAAGAATGTCTGGGATGAGGATGGAGGGACCTAATTTTTCACGGGTTGAGCACCAGCCTTTGTCCTCTTTTGGCCCAGGTTTCCACATCTGTATGATAAAGAGTTTGTCCTAGAGGATCTTTCATACCTAATGAAAATCACAAGATTAGACTGTCCTCACAGCCATGATTCTACATTGTATTTGAAGCTAAGAAATAGACTTTCCAGTTTTGAAGCTGGAAGGGACTAAATCATTCAGTTAAATCATTTCTTTTTAGCCACCCAAACTGGATAAGAGAGGTACATGAAAGGGTGGCAAATTGCTAACAGAGTCAGGCCTGGAGCTCAGGGTCCTGGCCATTGTACTACACAGCTTCTCCCAGGCCTAATGGAATCACTGGTTACTGTCAAATCTGGCAAAATGTCCTGGGATAACACCAGGGGTGGGATTCACATGCTGACATGCTTCCTTCGCCTGGGAGATGAGTCAGAGTTTTGGAAGGGGTCCCTGACATAGCATGCATGATGCAATACTATAGGAATCCTGAAGTTGGTCAAGGCTGTGCTCAAATGTGATCTGGGGGCTCTACTCCTTAGTAACTGTCCACTAAACTTCTTTAGCAGTTACTCCTAGCCTGCTGATATCTTTTGTGTGATAGGGATCTCTCCACTCACAAATATCACTGTTCTCACTTTGATTTAAAACAGTCAGTTTATCTGTTTTTCCTCCTCATCATTTTTTTTAATCTCCATAACCTCGAAACCTAAGTAATGTTTCACTGAAATCCATCAAGTTGAAAACTTTGTTTTTTCACATTTATTTATGGTTTTTTTGTGCTCATGTGGAGGTCAGAGGACAAATTGTGGGAGTTGGTTTTCTCTTCCCACCATGTGGATCCCAGGAATCAAATTCAGACGGTCAGGCTTGGAGGCAAGTGCCTTTACTGGCTGAGCCATCTCACGGGCCCCTGTGGAAACTTTCTATCAAACATAATTCCAATTTTAATAGAAGATATCTTATTCTGGTTTAGCAATCTAGAAGAGAATTGAAACTGCCTTGCCTTTGACTATGGTGGACCTCTCAGGAACCCTTCCATGTGGACCAGCACCAGGCTGGAAACACGTGTCTTCTGCTAATTGCCCCTTCCCTGTTGTCACAGCCTGCAGGCTCACTTACTCCTCGTCACACACTCCTGAGGTTTATAGAATAAGGACACCATTATGCCAGGCTATCACTCTTTCTCAGTAGAAACAACACGGCCCTTTGTGAGCTCGTGAGCTCGAAGCTCACTTCAAAGGGTGTGGCTATCATTCAGTGCTCCTAAGGGAAGGGTCTTTGGGAAAGTGCTCACAGTGTCTTTTCAGTTCTAGAATCTTCTCTCGGGTGTGGGGAGTTAGAGCAGGAGTTTTCATGAAGCCCTCCTATGGGTGTTTTGTCTACCTTGGAGGCAATACCATATATTTTCAAACCTCCTCAGAAAACAGGTTTTTTGCCAACTTTGTGCCCCCCCCTTTATCAATCTCCCCTCTCATGCTTGGCTTTTGGCCCAGTTCTGAGGCCTGCTTTACTTCTGCCTGGCATTTATTTCATAACAGCTGGCCCAGGGAGCTCAAATACTTAGCCTCAGCTGCCAGTTTAAGGAAGGAGAGGCCCCTGTAGCCGAGCTGTGACAATGACAACATTTGTTCCCACAGTGGTATTCTCAATGTCAACAGCAGTGACAGGCTCCAAAGGGGATCATGGCCAGTCACTGCTTAGGGATGGTCATGCATCCAGCTTTGACTCCTCTCAATGCT